TCAACAGATGAATGGATGCAGAAGATGTGGTACGCGCACACTACGGAATATTATTCAGTCATAAAAGGAAAAGAAATCTGCCATTTGCAACAGCATGGACGGGTCTAGAGGGTATTATGCTCAGTGAAATAAGCCAGGCAGAGAAAGACAAATATCAAATGACTTCACTTATTTGTGGAATATAAAAACAAAGCAAAACGGAATGAACAGAACAGCAGTAGATTCATAGACACTGAGAAGTGACTGGTGGTTACTGTGGGGAAGGTGTTGGGGTGGGAGGGTGGGGAAGATGAGAAGGATAAAAGGGCACAGAAATTCTCAACCATAATATAAATTGGTTGTGGGGATGGTAGTGCAGCATGGAGAATATAGTCAGTGGTTCTGTAACATCTTCCTATGTTGACAGACAGTAACTGCAGTAGAGGGTGTGAGGATTGAATAATATAGGTAATTGTCAAACCACTGTGCTGTATATTTGAAACCAGTATAGATTGCAAAACAACAATACTTCAATGAAAAAATAAAATAATAAAATAAGAAGTGGTATTTGGAAGAAAAGGAAACCTCAATTCAAACCTCATTTTTGGGTAGTTAATATATAAACTGAAATCATTTTTCTTTAAAATACTGGGGAGTTCCTTTTTTGTAGTTAGAGATATCTTAAAATCACCTCTTCTGTAAGAAACAATTTGCAAGGTTGGGGTCAGTGCTTATGTAGTATCAAAGGAGTTTCTGTGGCATATCAGATAGTTAGGAGATTACTTTTTAAAGTAATTTTTCATTTTCATTCAGTCTTTGTATCATGGTTTATATCTCCTGTACATCTTGGTCTTTAATGTTCACTATACTTTAAAATAATAAATTTCTGTTTCTTCTAAAGTATCTTCCCTCACTGAAACACATAGTGCCTTTTCATAGACAAGGAGGACGTGTGTTCTCACTTGAGAACCAGGGGTCTGCTTACATGGGTCCTGTGCACTTCTCCGACCTGGAGTGATTAGCAGTCCTGGAAGGGGAATTGTTGAAAGTTCTTAGCCTCCAGAATCTCTACACGGAAAGCGCCTGAATTGCTCCTCTAACTGGTAGCTTCGGCAGCCTTTGTTTACACTCTTCAGTTTTGTTTCCTCCTCAAGCAGGGAGGAGAAGGCCTCAGAACACGTCTAAGTTGATGACTAGCACTTGTTCAAATGTCTTACAGTTACGCTAAGAAAGAATCTGATCTTACTGGAGCCCAGCTGAAGCTTCGAGAATATGAAGCAGCTCTGAATTCTAAAGACGCAGCTCTAGCCACCGCTCTTGGGGACAAAAAAATCTTAGAGGGAGATTTGGAGGATCTGAAGGATCAGATTGCCCAGGTGAGGTGAGCTCTGCTCTTGAGCTGTTCTTGGCAGGTTAGTTGTCTGGATTGATTGTTGATTTTTAAATGTAGGTCGTATTTTTTTAAATGTGTTAACTTAATTTTTTGGGCGGCTTGCCTGAGGGTCAGTCTTGAGGCAGCCAACAGGCAGAGCACCTCCACCCCCATCATCGTGTCTGGACGAGCAGATCTGTTGCTGCTTTTCTTCCTCTCCGTTGTGCTTGTGCCCTCATTCTGTGCCTGCTGTGAAAGCTGCCTCAGTATTGTAGCAAAGAGAAGGTACAGAGCTGCTCTGCACACAGGGAAAACCAAAATGGCAGATAAAAGCTAAAAGCTACCTCTTGGTTGAGTTTTAAAAATACAAGTCTTAGGTCTCAGTTCAGTCCCTGATGTCGGTGACGGGATGCAAGGTGCTCTGGCCAGGCACTCCGGGTGGGACCAGGAGTTGGGCAGACCTTTCTGCGATAAAAGTTATAATAAATGACTCTTATACATTGTTAAATACATAAAAATTATCATGTAGGTGGCCGTTGCACAACAAAGGTTTGAACTGTGTGGTCCACTTCTATGTGGATTTTTTTTTTCACTTAGCATATTGGGAAAATTTTTTTGAGATTTGGGACAATTTGTAAAAGAAACATTTTCCTTAGCTTACTATATTGTAAGACTACAGTATGATATGTAAAGCACAAAATACATATTGATTGACTTATCGGTAAGGTCAACAGTTATAGGCTACTCAGTAGTTAAGTTTTTGGGGAGTCAAGCAGATTTTCGACTGGGCGTTGGGGGGTGTCCCTACCCACCCCTGTTGTTCATGGGTCAACTGCACTTGATTCAATTCGTGGTATCTATTACTAAATGATTAATTACTAAGTGACTGCTGTGTAATTCTCATCAATTTTTTTTCCTGATTAGCTAGAAGCCTCCTTAGCTGCTGCCAAAAAACAGTTAGCAGATGAAACTTTGCTTAAAGTGGACTTGGAGAACCACTGTCAGAGCCTTAGTGAGGACCTGGAGTTCCGTAAAAACATGTATGAGGAGGTAACTATACATGATTTTGCCTTTTTAAGGAATGGAGGGATCCCAAACAGCTTTATTAACAAGTATTTGTGTCAGAAGTGGGAGAAATACTGTTGAATTGTTTGAGGTACTGCTGTGTAAAGGCTGCACATAAGAGCTCAAGCTGTTAGGGAAACAGACTTTACCTCATCTGACTTACAAAGCCTTGGTCGCAGCAGTTAATTACTGTCAACTTGTTTAGGAGTTTGTATTTTTTATTTATTGCTGCCTAACACAGTACTCCAAAATACATCAACTTGAAACCACAGACATGTATTATCTCATAGTTTCTGAAGGTCAGGAACGTGCGAGCCATGCAGCTGGAAGGGTATGATCCCAAGGTCTCTGTTCAGGCTGCAGTCAGGCTTCCCTGTGCTGGAGGGATGGCCTCTGAGCTTGTTCACAGACTCACGGGCCATTGGTCGGTACGGGCTTCTCCACAGGGCTGCTCAAGTAGGGCTTCCCCCAGACTGAGTGACAGAGCAGGACAGAAGCCTCGTTACCTTCCTTACCCTGCCCCCAGAAGTGGTATTCGTCCCTCAGTCCATGATGCAGCATGGAGGGGCTTACACAGGCTGTGAACACAGAACTCAGCAACCCCGGGCCATCTTGAAGGCTGGCTATCCACAGCATTTATGGTTGTTTCTTATAGTTTTAAACATCATTTACAAGCCTTAAATGACTTCTGTGGTCAGCCTTAGGGTTGAAGGCAGCAACTGTTGCCAGGAAAGAAGTTAAAATTGAAGAAATAGGAATTTATAATACCTAAAAGTTGACCAGCATTGGAATTAACCTGGAGGGGAGAACATGCAGTTAAATACTTAATGTGTTTAAAAGTAATGAATTTTGAAAACAGCAACTAACAATGATTTAAAAATAGAAATTTATTGTAGAAATTCAATTTATTTTCTTAGTTGGAGAAAAAATAAGAGAAATCTGAGTCTTTTTGTAACAATACAGTACTGAAACAAAAAGGTGTTGACAAAGTGCCCTCACTGGACAGGCAGACTTTGGACAATTCTTGAGTCTGTTTTCTATTTAAAAATGAAGGACCAGTACCTGCTGTCTTTTCATGGTGTGGTGAGGACCAAAGTGGAGTAGCGTGCATGAAGGTTTCTTATAAACTAGGTAAAAAAGGTTGTCATATACTTGTTAACTACAGTTTTGCTTTATAAATGGAGATATTTTTATACTATCAACTTAGCTTATTTTTTGTTCTGTTAAAGTTGTCTGTGAACTATTAGTTCTTAGTTTTGATGCTGTGTGGATTCCACAAGGATTATTTAAAACAGGATTAGGGTTTATTTTTTCTTTGCAAGTCACTGATTTCATGTGTATATAAAATAATACATGAAAAATGGCATCAAGTAAAAAGTAATACTTTTAGAGGACTTGGATTGCATCTTTGAATTTTTGGTTTGTGCCTTTTTGAGAATGAATTTAAAATACTCTTTTTTTTCATGGGTGATATAATTCTATTCAATAAATATACTAAATGTATTACTAGGAAGAGTTAGGGGGGTAAGAAAGAAGGGAAAAAGCAGGAACAGGAGGGGGGAGGGAGGTAGACAAAGGACAAAATTATCAGTAGGTGCTCAGTATTGAACTAAACCTTTCACTTGTGTGTTTTTATGATTTAAGTATCATTCACTTCATTAAATAGATATGAGCCCTTGGGGGTTAATAGCAGAATTGGACTTTGAACCCTTGTTTTCTGATTCTGTCAAGTGCATTTTCCTCTGCAATGAATTATTTAAAAAGATGAGGAATGTATAAAAAAATGCCTGTAGGAAGATACAGAAACAAGAATGTCACTGGGTTTTATTCCCCCCTTGTGGCCTCTTTAATTATTGCCGTTAAAGACAGCGTTGGTATTTTCAGAACTGTAAGAACGGGAATTTCATTCTTGAACTTGTGTTCCTGACTATTTCTAGTTTTGGATAGTTCCTTAAAAACACCCAGGGAAGGATTATGACTACTATTTCTATTCTTTAATGGTGAACTGTCATATTTACTTGAAATGTAATGTTAGTAAAATTCCATCTCAATTGATGTTGATACCTTAGCACTAGCTGTTAAAACATCATGTAAATGAGTTTTCTCTGCCTTTAGCTTTATAGTATGTTTAAGAAAATAGTTTTATTATGCGTAAGACTTCTAGCTGAAGTTGTCCTGACTGATAAGTCTTGATTTTCCGTATGGATTTTTTTTTTACAGAGGTGTCCTTAAGCATCATCATCACAACAATTTAGAAAAACGATTACTATTCAGTGTACATACTGTGCACGATTGCATGGTACTTTAGGATGTCGTCCAGGCTATTCTTTGTCTTTAGAGAAATAAGAAACATAAAATTCCTGGGTTTTGAGGTACTACCACCTCTGTCATTAGTTACATCTCAAAGCTCGTCTCATGTGAAAACAAAGGTAAGAAAGTGTCTGTTCGTGTGCCTGCCTAGGACAGACACAAGAACTGTAAAATTTCAGGTGGCCCTCATGACGCTCAGACTTGTAGCAATGCAGCCACAGCAAGTAACTTGGTTTTATGTTATTTTGTTCCTCCAGGAGATAAATGAAACCAGGAGGAGGCGTGAAACACGCTTGGTAGAGGTGGATTCTGGGAGTCAGATCGAGTATGAGTACAATCTGGCTCAAGCTAAATGTATTACTAGGAAGAGTTAGGGGGGTAAGAAAGAAGGGAAAAAGCAGGAACAGGAGGGGGGAGGGAGGTAGACAAAGGACAAAATTATCAGTAGGTGCTCAGTATTGAACTAAACCTTTCACTTGTGTGTTTTTATGATTTAAGTATCATTCACTTCATTAAATAGATATGAGCCCTTGGGGGTTAATAGCAGAATTGGACTTTGAACCCTTGTTTTCTGATTCTGTCAAGTGCATTTTCCTCTGCAGTGAATTCTTAAAAAAGATGAGGAATGCATAAAAAAATGCCTGTAGGAAGATACAGAAACAAGAATGTCACTGGGTTTTATTCCCCCCTTGTGGCCTCTTTAATTATTGCCGTTAAAGACAGCTTTGGTATTTTCAGAACTGTAAGAACGGGAATTTCATTCTTGAACTTGTGTTCCTGACTATTTCTAGTTTTGGATAGTTCCTTAAAAAAACCCAGGGAAGGATTATGGCTACTATTTCTATTCTTTAATGGTGAACTGTCATATTTACTTGAAATGTAATGTTAATAAAATTCCATCTCAATTGATGTTGATACCTTAGCACTAGCTGTTAAAACATCATGTAAATGAGCTTTCTCTGCCTTTAGCTTTGTAGTATGTTTAAGAAAATAGTTTTATTATGCGTAAGACTTCTAGCTGAAGTTGTCCTGACTGATAAGTCTTGATTTTCCGTATGGATTTTTTTTTTACAGAGGTGTCCTTAAGCATCATCATCACAACAATTTAGAAAAACGATTACTATTCAGTGTACATACAGTGCATGATTGCATGGTACTTTAGGATGTCGTCCAGGCTATTCTTTGTCTTTAGAGAAATAAGAGACATAAATTCCTGGGTTTTGAGGTACTACCACCTCTGTCATTAGTTACATCTCAAAGCTCTTCTCATGTGAAAACAAAGGTAAGAAAGTGTCTGTTCGCGTGCCTGCCTAGGACAGACACAAGGACTGTAAAATTTCAGGTGGCCCTGATGACGCTCAGACTTGTAGCAACGCAGCCACAGCAAGTAACTTGGTTTTATGTTATTTTGTTCCTCCAGGAGATAAATGAAACCAGGAGGAGGCGTGAAACACGCTTGGTAGAGGTGGATTCTGGGAGTCAGATCGAGTATGAGTACAATCTGGCTCAAGCCCTTCGTGAGATGAGAGAGCAACACGATGCCCAAGTGAAGCTGTACAAGGAGGAGCTGGAGCAGACTTACCACGCCAAAGTGAGCGGTCTCTTCTGGGGACTGGCTTCAACGCTTAAGACTTTATTTAATAGTCACCCTCAAGAACATGACTTGATGTTTGTTCTGGTTTTCTGAAATGAATTCCCCTAGTTCCATGAATATGGAAAACATTTTTTTTAAAGCAGTTTTAAATGTTACTAGGAATTATTCAAAGAAAGTAGTGTTTTTCCATTTTTTCAGAGGTAGGGGTTTATCTTCTTGTTTTTTATCCCACTGATGATTTATGTCCTGTCATAGTAGGTAAATGAAGCCATCTGAAAATATTTTTCTTCCCATAACAACTGCAAGATCCATTTAATCAGTGAATGCATGTTGGACTGCATCTGGTTCTGACTTCCATGTCTTCATTGATGTAGATTGTGATGATTTCTTTGGGCTTTTTTTGAACAAAGGCCAATTGGAAGGTTTCTGATGTTGCTTCCTCTGCCACTATTTACTATTTATTTAGAAAATATTATAGAAATTTCCTACTTGTATTAGCAGATGATGCAAAATATCCATAGACTGACCAATGAGTACAGGCTTTGCTAGTAAATGATTTTACCCCAGTGTGTTAAATGTTGCGTGGTTTGATTAACAGGAGTTATTAGTGGAAGACTTGGAAAATTAAGGTCATAGAGGTTTTGAAAATAATTTCCACTGCATGGGCTCAGACTGTTCATGTTGCTTTTAACCCATTTTATGAAGTAGTAGATGCCAGATGAATGGGAGAGTTCTTTCAAACCTTATATTCCGTTACCCAGCACTTATTCGGTGCTAGGCACTGTGCTGGGCGGTGAAGGAGCTACAGTAAGGATTGGTTGGTCCCATAGACTCTGGCCTCAGGGAGCCAGGGAAGAGATGATGTGCATAAAGACGTGCCAGAAACACATGCAGAACAGAATGTTAGGGGCATTGGCAGGAACAGAATATTGTTTCTACCTGAGGAGCGGTTTTTTGCTTCAGAAAGGATGTGTTTCTATCTGGTTTGAAGGAATCTGTAAATTAGTACTTTCTGCCTATTGCGTTATATCCTCTATTAGATAAGATTTCTGTTAGAATCTGTATGTTAGGTTAGGGATATGTGATGTTTGTTTCCCACAGTTAAATTACTGCTGGCCACTCCTTAGTAGTGACATTATGTGAGACATTAGAGAGAAAATAGATGGAACACTGAAGTAACAAACTGAGTAAAGATCCAGGTGTACCAGCATCGTTAAAGCTCATATGCTGGGAACTGAGTTGAAAAGTCAGATTTAGAAGGTAATTCATACGGCAGCAAACTTCATGATGCTTTTCCTGTTTCATCAGCCAAGTTACCAGCAGGGCTTAGGTTTGCAGTGAAATGCCTCGAGATGAATCATCCTTCCTCATTTGTTTGTTCTAAGTCACTGGGTAAGACTGACTATACTCTGCTGCTGCTTTTAGCTCGAGAATGCCAGACTGTCATCGGAAATGAATACTTCCACTGTCAACAGTGCCAGGGAAGAACTGATGGAAAGCCGCATGAGAATTGAGAGCCTTTCATCTCAGCTTTCTAATCTACAGAAAGAGGTGAGTAAACATCTTCCCCGAGGAAGAATCAAAGTTGAACTTGAAGGCCGCCTCCACCATAGTAGGCCACCCACTTTGGTCTGTCATGTCGCTTTTCAGGGAGGATGGTATTGTCCTGCACTCCGATTTTAGTGCTCCCGATTTTTTCATCTTGCATTGCATGAACATCCTCTGTGAGTAGAGACTATTATTCCTGAATTAGTGATTTCCCAGACCTAAGGCAGTTGCCCTTGAGGAAGCAGGCTGCTGGTTTTTTCTCCGGGCTTACCCAGACCTAGCTTTTCTGATTGTCCCACAGCCTCATCTCCACACGATGTCTTCCCAACACACGTAAAATTGCATTTCAAAACCATAATGAAGAAAAACATGCAAAACTTCTTTGTGGGCGGTAAATGCTTTGTGTTTCTAGACAAATTCTCTCAGTGCTTGAAAATCTTAATTAAGATCTTGGGAAGCAGCATTTATTTGCCTATTTGTTAAGAACTTAGTAACTCACTCATTTGTTGGTACAACTGAGTGACAGAGGACCTCTTTGCTGGTTGTGTGACCAGTGCCTGTCGTACATGATGGTGCAGACATGGACACCGCTTGAAATTTGATTCAGAGTAAGGATGATGCAGACACAAAGTACATACACAACCACATAAGTACTCAGGATGCTGTGATAATCTGCTCCCCTTAGTGACCTAGGAGGTAACTTCAGCTTCTGTTTTCCTTAAGGGAAGAAAATGTATTTGTCACTTTCCACATAGAAATGAACCTTATTCTTGCTTAAGCTTTTCTTCATTTTTATTTTGTCTTTTTATTATTATATTTGTAGTAAATTCTTTTTCTATTGTAAAACTGAAGCCATTATAGGAATTTAGAAAACAAAGCTGACGAATTACATGAGACAGGCTAATGTAAAACAAAAACCGATTTAAATAGAAGCTTTTACATTGCCTGTCACATGTCCTTTATTCCTGATAACAAAAATTTTAAATTTATTTTAGGCCTATGTGTCCTGAGAGTATTTTGGAGTCTCATGTACCAGTAGTGCTAGAAGGATGTTTGAGTTCACTCTGTCCAACCACAGACTTGGGCGAGTGTAATGACTTGTCCAGAGACTGCAGGCTGATAAATGGGTTTCTCTCCTACTTCCCAGTTTTTCCCCTTACACCTCACTCTCTTCAGAGATTTTCTTTAGACATTTCACAGATAATCTTTTTTCCATTGCACCATCCTAACAGGTAGCTTTCCTAAAATAGGCTCCTCTGTTCTTACTCTGAGTTGACATTTAATACTTTTCTCCATTTAATAAATCATGTTCTGTTTACCCCCTGCTGCACAGTTTTGCATTTTCCTGAACCCTTTTTTGTCAGCTGTTGACTCCACTCAATTGTGTTAGGTGTAGGTGTTTTACAGAGGTGGAGACTGAGACCTGCTTGGGGTCAGCTGTGGACTGTGAATCGAGGTGGCCATGTTTTCTGACTCAGGCTCAGGGCTGGTTCCCTGTCTGTCTGTTAATTTATGTTCTCATTCTTACAAATTTTTTGGTTAACTTCATGTTAGTGTTTTTAAACAATGTTTGGCAGAGCCCTGGGGGTTCTTAGGAAACTCCTTCGGAAATAGAGAAGCACCTCCTTCCAACAGAGTAGTTTTAAGTTCTCTGTCTAGGTTGGCAGGGAGTAGGGACCTTTTCCTCTATTCATTACTGGTATCAGCTTTTATGATAAGTAACCTATCTTGTGGAATATCATCACTAGTTGATAAATTTTAGTTTTAGATCATCAAAAAGAAAAAAAGCTCTCTTTCTTGATACTTTTCTCTTGTGTATCTTAAAGGTCTTTGTTACTGAGTCACATCAGTTTCATCATGCTGCCTGTTAGGCCATAGAATTTCCTTTCAGTTACATGACTCGTGGTGGTGAAGTACTTCTTAAATTTTATTTCAAATTGACGTAGCCTTTAAAATGCTGACTTTAGATAATATTTAAAAATAAAGTATACAGTTGACCCTTGAACAACATGGTTTTGAACTGCGTGGAGGCCCACTTACACATGGATATTTTTTCAATAAATAAATTTCTTGGAGATTTGTGATAGTTTGAAAAATATTCTCTAGCTTACTTTATCGTAAGAATACAGTGTATAATACACGTAACATACAAAATATATGGTAATAGATTGTACTGGTAAAGCATCTGCTCAACAGTAGTTTTTATTAAAGTTTTTGAGGAGTTAAAGGATATTATGCAGATTTCTGACTGTGTGGGGTGTTGGCACCCTTAACTTCTGAGTTATTTAAGGGTCTGCTGTAGATGGTAGCAGTATTATGTTTTGGAATTAGGTATTTTGTACATTACTGAAAAACATTTCTATCTAGATTTGTGACTGGCCAAATTATTGGGTTGGTCAGGGTCCATTTCGCTTGCAGAAGAGACTCTAGTGGGACTTTAAAAACACCTCTAATTTTGTTTTTTTAACATCCAGACTCTGGAAACTTAAATTGCAGCTAGACCATAACAAAGTAGTCAATTATGTTACATTCTATTAAAAAAAACACACACAAAGCCCCAAGACCATCAGAGGTCAGTCAGAACATGTTAGAGGCCAGCTCTTACAGATAGTCTAGTGAGACCTCTTCCTTACCCTAATGTGGGAACTGAGTGAGTGAGTGAGGTCAGTTACAGCAGCCGGAGGCCTCCCAGGCAGGTAATGGCGGAATCAGGAAGGAGAATCTGGGTCTGTCTCTCATGCTCTTTGTATTTCACGGCTTAATGGGGGTAGGACAGCTATGTAAATAACGTAATATTTCTGTTGGAAATACAAAATGATTTAAGGTAACTGTAAAACTTATATATCTTGATTCGGACTTTCCCTTTTAAAGAACTCAGTGACAGCAAAGGCAGACTGAGACTCTTTGGA